GAAGAATAAAGATATACATGTATGCATGTATGCACTTGGAGATGGAGAGCACATTTCTCCTGTGACTTGGTAGTCGACACGCGAAAAATGTCGTGTCCTTGAGGTAACTGACACTCGAGATCGTGCTATGACAGCGATACTGCAAACCTAGCGCACTATCGATGGCGTAATGATCACTGATGTAATCTGAAGATTAATAAAATTGTAAACACCAAGGTTTTACATTTAACGATTTATTTTATCTTCGTATAAAAACTTTATTAATATATTACGTACATAAAGTAGTTTGCGAGTTCAGAATTCGTAGTGGATTTGTTCCTTGTCGATGTTTTCGAATAAGGCCATAATTAACGTATGTAATCAAATTATTTTTAACATTATCTGCTTCAATGCGTTAATTAAAGTTGCAGTTGTATATAAATACTCATTAATGAACTTCGGAGCATTTAGTACATAATTAAGAGGCAAGGTATTCGATAAGATAAAAGTACTTATATTACTTTTAGTCGGTTTACAGAAAAATGACTCATTTTCGGAGTCGTCGAAACGAGGATGCGAACGGAGTATTCAATGTTTCTTTTTAGAAAGTTTGTCTACTTCTTAGGAAGCACCAGTACAACGGCGTTTCGCCGCGAAATATTTGTCTCGTTGATTTGCGCTAATGAATGTGCGTATAGCGGAGAGAAGAGGAGCGTATGTTAGCACGCGTTTAGCTAAGTTTAGCGGTGGTTTCAGATGGCAGGCACTGTTTCCTCGGCGTATGTGGATACGTACCGTGTATGTGTATCATCGAGACGTTAACAGCATTACGCGCTTCGAACTCCGCGGTTCGTTCAACCCTCAAAATCGCACGCCTAGAGAAGCTAACTATTAGCAACTATTATTGTTGACAGCATGTAGGGCCTACATGATTTTAGTTGAAAGTCTTGTTCACTTCATTTATCTTCCACTTTTATCCATTGTCGCTGTCATCTCAGAGAATAATTAAGACACTCAATGGAAGAAAAGCTGTTTTTGAATAATTTATTAATATTCTTATAATCGAAAATACGTATTCTAAATCAAATTTAAAAAAAGAAATACTCATTATTACATGATCTTCATAACTATCCTAATGTCTTAACAAATGATCAACTGACAATACTTTTTTAATGCTTGAATTTGAGTGTTACTATGTATGTATGTAATTTTTGCTGTCACGTGTGTTCGTCTCGGGGTGAAGTAATAGAATATATCCACATGGAGTTCCCTTCTGTACATATCTACTTACCTCATTCTTGGCCACCGTTGTTTACGTTAGTTGTTTCGAAAGTAAGACGTGTATGTATGCATTGAACACTTGCGTACAGTTCTGGATTTTAGAAAACGTTTAAGGAAATTACTCACGAATTTATGCATCGTATGCATGCAGATGTTCCGTTTCCTGTAACTTCAACATATAAATATACACATAGTATATACATAATACACATGTATACTCACGTGTATATTCACGTAGATAAGACGTACCTATGTGTAAGGTATAAAACTGAATGGTTTATTTGCTTCAAGTACCAGTCCCAATATTTTACTTAATTCCTTATAGTATAGGCGTTTTCTTATAATAGTTTTGTATAACGTTTTATATTGTTTTAATTAACATTAGCAAAGATGTTAAAGGCATTTTTTATACTTGTCATTTGCTTTATACAATGTATTAAATGTTCGATAATTGAATCAGATTTAGACAAACTTTTTGGTTTTCTCTTTGAACAGGAAAGATGCCTGGTGAAATTTCTTTTAGAAACACATAAATATTACATTCTAGGGCAATTGATTTTAAAAAAGGTGATTTAAATCGTTTTCATTTACAAGCACATGTATGTATTTTGAAAATCAGTAGATTAGAGGACTATTTGACTTAACGGTTTTCTTAGGCCAGATGCATACATTTGATTGATATGCCTAGCTGCACTGTTACCACTGATGCACGAGACCGTGTTATGTGAAACACCTAGTCATAAATAGTCCTGTATTTGCTTTCGATATTTCTCTTCGCATCGGGAAAGCTTTTAACCAGGTCAAACTGATTCTCTTGTCTTTTTTAAAGTCATCTAATTTTCCACGTGGATTAACATGAATAAGCATAACTAATAAACTAGCATTTAGAAATTTTACATTCATTTTAGTTTTCCTTTATTTCTAACAATATTCCGCAAGTAGTGTTATAAAATGTTTTAGCCACAGAAAGTTATAATTTTTAAATCGTAAAAATATGGGAAATTTTTCTTATGTGTTTATGTCAATATGAAGTAATGAACCGGTGAATTAATTGTATTGGCAGCACAGCGAATATTTTAAATGAAACTATCTACTAGTACAGATTCTGAAGAATCAAATTTTAATTAATCCCGTAGATGAATCATGATTTTCTTGGTAAAGCGAGCCCTTAAGCCAGAAGATATTTTTACACGAATTAGCTCATGTTCCCAAGTTAACGCGTAAATGCCATTCTATTGTGCATCTTCGTTTAACAATCGGTTGAACAGGTCGTTACTCTCCATCGCGCAGAATGGGGCCGATCGACAGTACAGGAAGTTACGTGACTGCCATTGAATTTTCTGACAGAAAATGGACAGAGATTCAGTGCTACCGTCGTACTACGTCGGTATGGTCGACATGGAAAGAAAACCAGCGATCGCAAGACGGTGTAAAAGAACCCGATGCACCATATTCGGAAGCGACACGGTTTCGTAAGGCAAAATCTCCACGTTGGTCGATGCCCGGCCAAGAAAGATGCGTACCGTTGTCGCATAAATATAGCGCGACTGTTGCTTGTATTTAACCCATTTCCAGCACTAGGTGTATAGTACATATGTATAACATTTTTGGTCATTACCAACAAAAGCATTATACTAATTAAAATTGTTTTTTATTGATTTTATTATAGAAACTTAGAGAATTAATTCAGGTTTGATAAAATACAAAAATATATGCATTCTATTAGTACTGTCTAGAAAGTATCTTCTAATCAAATCAGTAAATAATTGTTTATTAAAAATGGAATTTCTTATTGACCCACATTGGCCAATCAGTCATTGAATGAAGTGTTGTATCAATAATTATGTATTGTATCAACTATTGTACATTGTACAACAACCATTGTAAGAAATGTAATATCAATTTACTTGGGAAAAATATCTTACATACATGGGAAGAACATAATCCTCTGCTCAGTCGGGTGAAAAGATGATCGGATCTTATATTTTCTATTTCACTTACTTTCAATAGATCAGTCACAGTTGTGTCGATAGGTTTTTATGGACGTCTTCTTACATATATTGACTTAAAAGTCACGCTGTATTTCTTCGAAGACTGTATCTTTACTACGACATACTTTGTTTCGGCTACGTGATCGCCATACGTGATTTTTGGTCCCGTGGTATCTTGTACCCCTTCCAAACGTAAAACAAGCGTGGCTGTTCATTCATTCATCGTTGGACGGCGAGGACATCCTCGTGTTTGTCTTGTTGCTCTCTCGATTTGTCTCTCTAATTTGTCTATTTATCAAAATGTAGGTTAAAAAATGCATAGCTTCTTCAATCGTTGAACACCTTAGCGCCACAGTCGGAGATAGATCTTCGATGATTAATGTCATTGGCGATGTTGATGAAATTAATGACGCCAAGATGTTCCATTTGGCAATAATTCGAAGCCAATCGGAGCGTAGTCAACGAACGAGGAGATGTAATCGAAAGCATGATGGATGATGATAGTCAGGCAAGAGGATAATAGATAGATAATTTAGGACATTTGCAATGAAGGCAGGATATTAGATAGCTTGAATAAGTTTGGTAGATTATCATTCGAACTGATTTTCTTTTAATTTTCAGCTTAAAATAATTAGTTTAAAAAAAAAAATGTATTAAGATAGTCCATTCAAAACAATGATTTATATATTTATTCATTTTCGTTTTTTCTTGTTTGCTCCGATTACATATTTGTGAAATATTCGGTGTATATTTATGATTCTGATTTGTACAACTAAAATATGTATGTGTATTGTATGTAATTATATTTTACGAGTTTTAGAACAATTAAATGTATAGGTGCTTAAAGTACAAAATATGTAACCCAAACGGTTTTTGTGTAAAATATTTGTTGTGAGCTATCATAAAATTGATAGGACAGCTACTTATCAGTAATCTGTACAGTCACTGTAAGGCTGGAATATGATGTTGTTCTTGAAAAATTGCTAACCAGACAGAATTCATTGTCAGCTACAGGTATTTAAGCACCATCGTGCTTATGACTTTCTTTCGGCCGACCTAAATTTCAAGAGTTTACTGCTGCATGCATCCGAGGTCAATGAGTGTCAACGCGATAGACGACGATCCGTCGTTGCCACGTCGACAACAATTTCGCGGTAGTGTTTGAAATGACAATGAAACTACAGGCCATTGCTCCAAAAATAAGATACTCCGATCGCGATTCGTCATTAGTTTTTCATTTGTATTGTAGTAATAGATTTAGACATACATTTTTTAATTTATTAACAGTTTTAATTCCTTTACACATATTCATCAAAGCAATGTGTAGTAGCTTATTTTATTTTATAGTAAAAGGTGCTAGGTGTATCGAAATTGCGTTCCAACATGTAACAAACATTAATACATTAAACAAGATATATTATTGACGTCAAGAGTTCATGAAAAAATAAATAAATACTATTACATGTCTAGACTTGGTTTCTTCTTTTTCTTTCAAGCGTTCTTATTTAAATGCATGAGCCTATGTACGGTTGTTTTCTCATTTGTAACATTTGAATCATTTCCTGCTTGCTCAGAAATAGCGATTCTGTAATCGTCTCGAGCATCATTTATTTTTTAAAAGATGTGCCATCATCACAGTAGGGATTAAAGTTATTAGATTTTAAATTATGTATATCTAATGATACATTAATCTTCTTAGATTGTAAGCAATGTTATTATGATGAATGATCATGCGTTTGCGTGTTACAGATGAGCGGGAAGACGTACAAAAGAAAACATTTGCAAAATGGATAAATTCACAGTTGCTTAAGGTGAGTGCTTTTAGTCATCATATCTTAGTATAAATTGAGATTGTAACTTACGGTTAAATTATTTATAAGTCTATGAATATCTATAAATTGTTATGCTTGATTTGTCATTTTAATTTATTAATTGCTATATAAATGTATCTACTGAATTAATTCAACTTTTATACAGAATCATCACGAACCGATTTCTGATTTATTCGTTGACCTAAGAGATGGTAATAGATTGCTATCTCTTTTGGAAGTTCTCACGTCGAAAACCTATGTAAGTAAAGTGTATTTACTCTTACTTCAGTCTATTATATAATCTCACGATAAGTAAGATTGAAATGATGGGTGCGATGGCTCTTTTATGGAATGCGCAATACATATTTTTATTTCACGTCTGATGTAATTTGTTAAATATTCCGCTGACAGCCGTTCTTTTTTCGAAGCACTCTTCAGAATAGTGCCGCATATCGTATTTATGTTACGAGACTCGCTAATAGAATTCTAGGCAGGTGCGCCGATCGAGCATTACGAATATTTGCATGAAACCGGTGATTATCTATGCACCGTAGGCGTAACATTCCGAGGAAAAACTAGGCATCTGTTGTGTTGTTCCGCATATTTATGCGATTTCATAGATGTCTTTATCGATTCCGAAGATTCACATCATACTTATTTTTATTTTATATATTTTTGAATAGATTTCCAGATCGCACTATTCTCATTATTTCTATTTGTTTAAGTTTTGTCCAAAGATTATTGAAAACGAAGGTAGTGAAGTTGTTGTTCACTTTCTGATAAACTGGTTACCTGTTTTTATATTTTTAAGCATTTTATCAGATATCGTGAAATAACTACAATTTTTTTTAATTTGGTTTCCATGATTTAGTGTTTAAAAGTAATGAGGTAACTAAACTAAGTGAATAGTATGATCATTTCTTCATTTAATTATAAGAATTTGAAATAATATTTCAATATTAAGTAACTCAATTTATTTTCAGAAAAGAGAACGCGGTCGTATGAGAGTTCATCATCTGAATAATGTTAACAAAGCTTTGCAAATTCTTGAACAAAATAATGTGAGCTACTGTTGTGCATTTGTTTATTAAAAACTGAAATGAGCATAATTTAATGATTTTTATATTCTTCTTAGGTGAAACTTGTAAATATTAGCAGCAATGATATAGTCGACGGAAATCCTAAGCTAACACTCGGATTAGTATGGAGTATTATTCTACACTGGCAGGTCAGTTTTAGAAGTAGCTCAGTCTACCGAGTTAGCAAACGTTAAATTTAGTTATTATTTGACTTCTGTGTTTAGTTATTATCTATCCAGTCATCTAATAAATCTTTAACTCGTAACTAAATAATTTATTTAAATATTTAGGTTCATTATCATCTGAAGGATTTAATGACAGAATTGCACCAGACAAATTTGGAGAAAACACTTTTAGCATGGTGTCGTCAAAATTCACAGGTGAAACATTGTTAAAAAATGAGATACACTTCTTTTTTGATGTAGTATAGATACTGGAAACTATCGTTACGCCCATATACTTTTTTTAGAATTACCCCGGAGTTGACATAAAAAATTTTACAACATCCTGGTCGGATGGATTGGCGTTCAATGCTATTCTTCACAAATGGAAACCACATTCATTCGATTTTAATAACATTGCACGTAAACATCCAAATGTTAGATTAGATCACGCATTCCGTATCGCTCAGGAGCAATTGAATATTGAACGCCTGCTGGATCCGGAAGGTAAAAGAAATGAAAAATTGAACTAGTTTTATCTTTGCAAATAACTTGAATTTGAAATGTGTCTAATTCTTATTCCGTAATAGACGTGAATACTTCGGTGCCGGATAAGAAGTCAATAATGATGTATGTTATGTGCCTCTTTCAATCATTACCTCATTCCGGAGACGATATAGGCGAGTTAGATATTTCAGTAGCGAGCGATGGTAGCCCAGTCACGACGCCAGCTGCAGAGGTATTTTGATCGATTTCGTGTGTCTTCTTTTCATCTCATTAAATACAAAATTGTATAAAATATACTTTTTTACAGAATGCATTGTCTTTTACAAATTTCGGAATGCCAACATCTCGACCAATGAGCCTAGCAACGAATGTATCGGTGGAACTTGGCGGCTATCAAGTTGCGCTTGAGGACGTTTTGACCTGGCTTCTGGAAGCGGAGGATAAGCTGAATCACGCTCCAGAACCTGGGGCAAGTTTGGAGGTGTTGAAACAACAATTTCACGAGCACGAAACTTTTTTGATGGAATTGTCCGGGCACCAAGACGGTGTCGGTGCTGTATTGGAAGAAGGCGCGAGATTACTGGCGGAAGGTGGTTTACATAAAGACGAAGAACATGAAGTCCGCGAACAAATGTCGTTATTGAATTCTCGGTGGGAAGGATTACGAATGCGTGCAATGGAGAGGCAAACTAAAATTCATGAGGTATGTTCGAGGTTGATCATTTCTTACTTTCGTGTTCGTCGTTAACAATTTACTTTTATAATTATAGGTACTTATGCAAATGCAACAAGGTCAGTTGGATGCCTTACGGCAGTGGTTAACGAAGACTGAAGATAGGATTTCGCTGATGGCGGCTACTGAATTAAATCAATCTGCTTTGGACGAACAGTTGAAACAATTAAATGAATTGGAGCAAGACATCGAGGCTCAACAAGGTGTCGTTGACGGTATGACAAATATGGTGGTCGTTGTGGACGAAGAAAACTCCGAAGCGGTCTACGCTCAGATGGAAGATAATTTGTCTGCTCTCGGCGAACGGTGGACACACATTTGTCAATGGAAAGAAGAAAGGAGACAACGTTTGCAAGGTCTTTTTTCACTCTGGCAAAACATTAATGACGATTATAAGAGATTAGTATCGTGGTTGAATGAAACTGAAATCACATTGAAGCAAATGGAAGCTAATCCAGCGTCCGAAATCGGCGAAGTACTTGAACGAATTAAAAAGCTACAAATTTTGAAGATGGAGATGGATTCGAATCAAAGGAAACTGTTGTCTTTGCAAGAAGCAGTACAGAAGCTGGAGGGACAAAGTACTTCGCCAGAATGTTTTAATATATTAGAAAAGATTGAAAATCTACAAGATCGATGGGATGCCGTGGGACAAATAATGGAAGTCCAGTCGCAGAGGATAACGAATTCAGGATTCGAGTTTGACATGAAAACAGAGAGAGAAACGACAGTGATTACCGGCAATGAATGGATGTCTGAAACTGTAACGAGCATCGCTTATAAGGAGGAAATTGCTGCAACGTCGACACCTCACAGCGATTCAAAAAAGCGTCGTGTAGACAGTACAATTAGACACGAATTTGAATCCGCGTTGCATAATCTGTATAAATGGCTGGATTACGTTGATTTAGAGATCGGGCGATCTGAAGGAAGGATATTCGATGAATTGAGTGTTGAAGAGAAAAAAGTGGTTTACAATGACACGATAGCTGATATAGAGGCCCATAAGGACGATTACAATAGTGTTTTGGAGTTAGGAAAGCAACTTCTCAATGAATTAACAGACGTGAATGAATCGATCGAGGCGGAAGATACAAAAATTAAAGACGTACAAAATCGTTGGACAGCAACTAACAATCGTCTCGAAGAAATAAAGAATCGCATAGAATATTTAGAGGAAGTGAAAAAGTTCAGAACGGAATTAGCTAGCTTAAATTTGATGTTGGACAGCTATTCTAAATGGTTCGATTCAAACAAGGAAAATAATCAAGTGGAACCATTTAGAGTAAAATTGAAATCGATGAAGTCTCATGAAGAACGCATAAAAAGATTGTTAGACAAAGCCAAAGAGTTGTCCGAAAATCAAACTGCTCACGAGTTTATTAACTTGAACGCAGATATGGAACCGTTCGTTGTCAGTTGGGAAAAGTTATACAAAGTACTGTCTGATAGACTAACTGAATTAAATGATGCAGTTGATAAAACACCACCAAAGAAATATATGGATACGGTTGATAATCTTACTTCTTTCATTAATAATGTAGAGAGTGTGTTACTGTCAGAGCATATAGTGATGTCAGATGATAAAACAATGATGGACCAACTGCAAAAGTTCAGTGATCTACAAAATTCCTTGAAGGAATATCAAGAGATGTTTAATTATGTTAACAGTGTTGGACACGAATTAATAATGAAAACGAACGGAGACACTCAGGGGCAACGGTTAAAAGATGCGTTACAAGATCTTAACACTAAATGGAGTGACATACCAATAATATTAGAAGAACGTCAACAAAATTTGTTAAAAGATATAGAATCTTTGAAATTATTTAATAATGAGCTTACCGATCTCGAGAATTGGCTTCAAAAGTCCAGTCAGCACTTAGAAGAAGTATCGAAGGATAATACTTCTGATAATATCGAAAGCATGGAACTTAAATTAAAGCAGATTCAATCTTTCTGTGAGGAGATAAATCAGACAAAACCGAGAATAGAGAATCTTCAAACTTCTACAAACAGATTGCTCGAAAATTCTGAACCGAAATTCGCGAATGTGTTAAACAGTAAATTGGAAGTTGTTTCGCATAAATGGAATGCCATTGTAGATGACGCTAAAAGTTTAAGCGATAAATATGAGGATGCTTTGAAGAAGAACGATGAGATTATAAACGGTATAGAAGATTTTACAAAATGGTTATCAGCCCTAGAGAAAGAAATACCAGTTGAAACTAAAATAACGTCCTCGGTCGAACTGTTCCAAGTTCGTGGCCGCTATCAATTGTTGAAGGAAAAGATAGATAAACGAGTGGAAGAATTTAGGAATCTTAACGAAATGGGTAACGATAAGTTGTTGAGTTCCGAAGGCTCTTCGGTACAAGAACTTGGTCGACGATTTACATTTTTGAATGCCCGATGGACGGACGTTACAGACCGAATATACGAACGATACAGGCATTTACAAAATGCTAGTCATGAATACGGTGAATTCCGTGCACTGGTCGCACAAGAAAGTGATTGGTTGGATAAATTGGATAAAAGATTGAAGAAATCAACGGAAAGTGCTGCAGATGCTGAAGAAATATCAGAAGAACTCGACGTAAGTATATAGATATTACAACAGCGGGAGAACTTCCCTGTAGAAAACAGGAAGACAAGTAATTATTTTTGTCCTAAAAAGGATTTGGAGAATTATATACGAAATCATCCGGAATTAAGGCTTGAAAAAATACAAGAAATTGGTAAACAATTAATCGAAAGTAACATTATGACACAGTCTATTCAAGCAGACGTAGACAGTTTAACAAGTCGCTGGGAAAGTTTAAATAACCAGGTATGGATCGTTACGTATAAGGCTTGAAATATCGTTTATAACAATATAATTACAGTTATTTTTACCTGCATGTATCGTTACTAAAGAAGTCTTGTTTAGATATACATATATGTTCAATGATATTTTCTTTTTATACTGCTTTCAAAAATTGTTCTTGCTTGTATGAATTACGAAGCTTTTTATTTATTTTTTGTGTTATTCCTTATATTTTTTCTTCGATATATTTATAATTTTACTATGCATATCTATTCGTATGAACGTTCAAAAATTTTGTTAGTCCCAAGTTGTATTTTCGTTTGATTTCTGAAGTAATATATACATATAAGTAAGTGTTATTACTTATTGAGTAAGGTAAAGTGATTGCGTGAGTAACAACGTTGCTGTAATCAAGTTATGCGGAAAATTAGAGTTCTATTTTGAGTAGGCAGGGCAGCGAGCAAAGCTGCTGGAAGGATCAGTGAAGCAAGCACAACAATCAGAAGGACGTATTCTTGCTCTTCAGCACTCCTTAACGCAAATAGATTCTGTACTAACTGCACGTCTTGACTGCGACCTTACTGCTGATGATTTGCCTCACGATTATCAGGTCTGTTAGTGAACTTATTGTTACCTCTTTACTAACTAACTCGTCTGACTGCATTATGAATATTGTTTGTAAATGAATAAATGAAGTGCGAACTTAACACTATGCTAAAATCATATATTTTGCTATAGTATTTATAAATGTTCTATGTACGTAAACGATCATCATAAAGAAAGGAATACATTCATGCATAAAAATAAATAATATATATTAAGCAATGTTAAATAAATAAATGTGTTATAATAATTTTAATTATACGTGTTAAAAATCCAGAAACTAATGGAGGAAATGGAGCATCAACGTACAACACTTCAAGAAATGGCCTTGCAAATTGAATCGTACGAAGCTTCTGGAAAACAAGAAGCTGCACTTAGATTACAGGATCAATTGACTCTTATTGAACAAAAATTCGGCGAAGTTCAAAAGAAGTTCCAACGTTTCCGTTGTCCAACGAATTTAGAGCCGAGATTGTCCAGAGCTTTACGAGAACTTAGAGGAATAGAAGAAGCTACTTGCTTACTGGAATTGTCATCGGAAGATCCTGAAGTTATCGAAGGTCAACTTCAGCATTGTTTGGTAATTAATCTGTTTAGAAATTAATCTATCATACACAATTATAATTAATTAGTAAAGTAAGTAGTAAAAACATGTGATTTATTACAGCGTTTTTATCAAACGCTAAGTGAAATTAAAGGTGAAATTGAGAATATTATAGTAACTGGCAGGAAATTAGTTGAAGAGAAAAGCGTTTCTGAACCAGAGAAACTTTCGCGACGGATCGACTTGTTGAAAGAACTGTACAATAAAGTAAGACACGCGTAATATCAATATAGTATATTACAGTATTTCTTATCTGTAACTGAATGTATATATATAATTGCATGTCATTTATTACAGCTGGGTTTACATATAACTGAATCAAAAGCATGCTTGGAATCGGCCTTAGACTTATCACGAGATATGTTTAAAAACATGTCTTATATCAACATGTCCATAGACAGTATTAATAAAGAATTAGATACACAGAAAAACATGCCTGATCTTCCAGTTAATGCGATATATGTTCGAGTATGTATTATATAAATGTGAAATTTATGACCTGTGTTCATGACTTACGATTGGATAATAACATGCATCTATGAAATTTCATAATTAGGAGACTCTGACAGAAATAATTCCACGGCTAAATGTTATTAAAGATAAATTGTTAAATTCTCAAGATGAATTCTCCAGGCTCTGTGATCCCATGTATTTGGAGCAATTTAAAGAAAAATTATCGGACGCTTTTACCAAGTTGGCAAATACCGAAAAGAGATTAAGACTTTGTAATACATCAGAAGTAAATATACATATAATTCATAAAAAATTTGCGTGCCATTTGAAGAAAGAACCAAAGACTGATGAAGTATAAACGCATTGTTTTCAGGAAGAGCCGAACGTTGACGAAATAACTGCATGGCTTGTACAAGTTGAAGAAAAATTGAATAAATTGGACGGTATTCCGGTCGATCAATTAACAGATAATCATTTTGAACAATGCAAAGTAATTAATATTTTCATACTGGAGTTTAATACTTCGTCGCGAAATTGGTACAATTGTTTCATCTTCATTTTCAGGCTGTGCAGAGTGAGATGATCGAAGCAAAACCAAAGATCAATCAACTGCAGCGTTATACTTATTATCCGAAAGTTGCAGACGTTTGCAAGAAGTGGGAGAATATATCCACTAGAATACAAGTATGTATACATGACGGACAAATTTAAGTTGTATCATTCATTGCTTGTTTCCTCATTGCTTGTATTGCTTATTCTTTATCGTAACATCTGGTATATGTAATGCTTGTGCTCCATATAGTACCATTACGTATATCTCATCAATTCAAGTATTCTTTTATATATTTTGCATAATTTGTAATTTTTGTTCAAATTCTACAGACTAATATTTTAATTCTACTAAAACTTAATTAATAATAATAATTTATTAATTTTATTTTGGTAATTATTAAGGATACAATTATTAATTGTGTATAACAGAAATATTTTCTCTGATTAAAATTATTATGTATCCATTTTTATATGAACTGAAGAAATCTATAGAATTAATCCATATGTTATATAGATAATACATGCTCATATTTATTAAGTTTAATTACCAGGATTATTTATACATATATATATATATATATATACTGTTAATACTTCATTAAATTAGTATATGTAAGTTACGTAGAAGTATACTTTACGAATTATTCTGATCCTGTCCAAGAGGTGATTCTATTGATGTAAATAATGCTGCCATTGTTAATAAAAAAGCCGTTATAAACTTTGGTGGATGGAAAAAGTATCGATCAATTATGTACGATATTGTCTCTCCCCTTGTATAGATTTTTATGTACAAAAGTCTGAATATGACTTGCAAAGGTAGACTGAATAAGGAATAATACAGAATACGTGCCCCCAGTTTTTTTATATTGGTGATGGATACACGCAAAAGAGAAAGCTTTGTTTGCACAGTGAAATGCATTGTCACTTTCATTTTGGCCATGCTTGATATATAGTCATACTATTAACAATACTCTTTCAATTTAACTGTCGTCTATCCATGAATACTCTGTTACCTATCATATTTTCACAGGAATGGATCCACAAAATCACAGACAGTTTATTAGTAAAAAGTAAGGTGGGAGAGACTAAGGGGAGAGACAATCATGGACGCGCTAAATTGTCTAGACAGCCGGAACAAACTTCGGTGCAGCTATCTAAAAAAGAGAATAAATTGATAGATGAAAATGAGGAGATATACGGCATAGGATATCTTAATCCTGCTTTCGATGAAAGTCAATGTAACGTACATACGCCTGAAAGTTCGCCAATCGATATCGTACACCGAAGTCGGAAATCTTCTGTCAAATCTGAGAAAGTAAAAGCTAAAATCGTAGACAGCAGTAGAGCCGTTAGACGAAAGTTAGACATGAGTTCTGTACCCGATGTTGTTCAAACTTCTCAACCTCAGGTTGTTCATATCGACGCTGATCCACCTTCTTCGTCTCCGGACAGAGACGTGTACATGCCCGATGAAGAGTTCTTTTTGTCCAAAAATAGCACATTGTTTTCCCAAGTTTCCTCTAACACGCTGGTTACGACAGACTCAAAACCCTTCAACACGTACAACACACAATCGAATCCCTTTCGTATTGTAGAAGTGAAAGAAAGTGAAATAGTAAAATCAGTTGCATCTCCCGAAGATCATGTAATATTACCAAGTGCAAACGTCAGTGTAGGATTAATGCCGCAGGTTGTTGAAAGAGTGGAAATCATTGAGGATACAGAAACAGAGCCGGAATCCGTAGATACTGATACCGAAGATAAAGAAACTAGGGCACAAATTTGTACTGCAATTGGTAGTGGAACTCAAAATATTAACAAAAAGAGAGAACTTATACCTATCTTAAAAAAGAAAAGAGCAATAGATTCGTTCCCTACAAAAAGCGTTAAGAAATTAACTCTTAAACTAGACGTCGATGATGGTGTAGACACTGAGAGTCAAGTTCCAAGTAGTAAATCAGATTTAAGTACACAATTTTTATGTAAAGGAAATAAAGCAGAAAAGAATTTGAAAGATAAAGATAGCATTGCCGAATATCTTATACTTGAAGATAATAAAGTGAACAAAAATTTAAATTCACAAAGTAGTGTCGCAGGTTCTTCTTCTGAATCAGCAATTAGTTTCACGAAAAGGAGAAAAGAGAATAGTAATGACAAAGACACGATATTCAAGAAAGATACAGATTTATTAAAATCACGAAATAATGGAAATCACAGCGTTGATTGTGAAAAGAGTATAAAAACGTCGTTATTTAGACGTGCTAGAAGCGTTTCAAAAGACGATACGGTTGAGGATTGTGAAAGTTTCTATGGAAGCGATAAAGAGACCGACGATATTTTAATTTTTTCTGATGACACGGAAATTGACGTCGGAAGTTCCAGTTCGGATGGAGACGATCCAAATTTAGGAGAAAATGTTGAACACCTCTTGGGCAAGGTAATTCTGATAGGACTTGCCACTATAAGTGCTGTTAACGATAGAATAGATATCACAATTACAAATTTAAATCTTAAGTTCTCGTAGATGCGTAATGATAGGTGAAGGCTAACATAGATGAATATGTATAATATCGTGTTTATAAGTCAATTTTAAAGTTGCTTTTTACCATATATGTTTTATTATGTGCAGATACAAACAGAAAAATTATCACAGAAAATACAACAGAAAGCAGAGGCGAAGAAGGAATTATCTAGCGATAAAAGGCCTTTTAAAGTCTCTGGTCTATCCAGAACAGGCTTGGAAAAAAATATTTTGGAATTCGAACAAGCTGCGCAACGGATGCTACACAGAATGGATGTGATGTTAATGAGCATTAGTGGCATCAGTAACGAGAAAGATCCTACTAAGCGCCTGGAGGTTTATAATTAGCTTTATTTGGGAGACTCTATCATCAAATAAAATAATATGATCGATCTTTTGGCAACATATGCATTTATATTTCAGGTACTAAAGGATGAAGTTAGTACTCTTGCACCAGACGCAGCGGCTTTGATCAGTAAAGGTGATGGTCTAGTCATGACAGTGCACACATCTGATCCTGTTAGGGCTGAGAAAATAAAGAATGAGCATCAGGATAAGTTGAGAAGCAAATGGCATCAAGTTATGTCGGAAATAGAAACGAGGCGCGTACAAGCACAGCGAGGAGAAGAAATATTACGTCAGTATAATGGCATAGTAGCGGAATTCGAAGATTGGTTTAGAGACGTGCCTCTGAAACTAGAACAAGTGAATAATTACGAGGGCCAGTTGGAATCGTTCACTGTAGAATTCGACGCTAAGCAGGATCAAATTCATAAATTGAACGATCTTGCTGCTGAGTTGAAACGATTGAATGTGGGATTTTCTGAAACTGTGCGTTTTAGTATCAACAGTAGATGGCAAGAAGTCAGTTCACAATTTAAAAGATACAGTGGCAGTAAGGATAAGGATAAACACGTAACGGATAAAAAAGTTGAAGTGGTACGTTTTTCTTCTTTTTTTGACTGAAGTTGTATTCACATCTTTTTTATGTTGGTTTTACATTTTACAGGATATGGGTGGAGTCGATATGCAAGAATTTACCAGCAGAGTTAACAAGATTAGAGAAGCTGTCGTGACTGTGACAAGATCTTTAAATTCTGTTCCCTTGAATGGTGACGATTATGAAATGTTCTCGAGTCAAGAGGAGTGTCTGAAAAAAATTAGTAACGCTTTAAACATTCTTAAACCAAGTATAGAAGAGATCAACTCAGTTTTCGAGAATGTCGCGTCACAGTTAAGGAGAGAACAGGCTGAACAAATTAGGCGCCTAAGCGACAAATTACGAGACGAATGGATAAACGTTAATGAAAGTTATGTAGGAAGATACAACCGTTGGAATAAATGTTGCGAAAAATGGAGAGAAGTTTGTAATACATGTCGCATGTTTTCCGAATGGTTGGATAAAATGGAAGAGTCGTTAAAGAAATTAAATTCTCTGGGCTATTCCAAATCATCGAAAACAAGGATATTTGAATTGGAGCAAGAAATTTCCAGAATGCAGAGAACTATGAATAATATTAACGTCTCAAGCGCCAGTATTTTATCTCGTGCAAAAACTGAAGATATGATAGAATTCAGGGAGATGATTGAAATGATAAAGCGCCGTTGGCAAAATATTATAACTGAATTGAATATACAAAAAGAAAAGTATGTATTAATCATGTTTTATGATCAACTGTTAATTTGATTGAATTAATGATACGATTTACACTTCTATCAATTTGTTAAAACGATTTATTAATTTTGCATGTTAACGTAAACTGTAATTCATGGTACAGAATTTTTGATAGACACGTAACATTGAAAGCTAAGCTCTTTCTCCTATCGAGCTATTTCAGTTGTGATTTGCCTTTCCTGCTGTAGTGATCAACTCAGAATAGCACCTATGTTACAAAAGAACACGTACTAAGTTCGAATTAAAATAATATTGTGATTTAATTTTCTATTATAAAATTATTTGTGCGTTTAAGATGCTTTTTACTTTTTAATGTTGTTTACATTAGCGTTTGAATATTTTAGTTCTTTTTTTTAAATTATATATTTTTTAAAGGAATTTCGCCATGGAACGGAAATTTAACAACGAAGGTAGAATTTTAGAAAGTGCTTATAATATTTTGGAGCAAATCAATTCGTTATTGGTGTCGGCTGCAAATCCTTCAGATGAGACATCATTGTCAATAAGATTGTCATTAATTAAGGTAAGTTTATTAAAAAATTAATTCACTTTTTGCACAGTAGCACAGTAGCACAGATATTAATATTTATATCACAACACTCATTTACGTTATGCTTCAAACATATTTGGTATTAATTTCACTTATTTTACTAGACGATTTTAAATAAAGATCATAAATTGATGCTTTTTAATATAAACTTTAAATAAAATTTGTACTTGGAAGCTGGTTTTCTGTAACTTACCGCTATACCGTTATTAAATAAACTGAACTGTACCTAATAATACCTTCCATGTCATGACTACACAAACTAAACTGTGCCAAGACATAAATAGCGTTGAACCCTTACTTTTCGTTTCGTTTACTATTAAGCATAAATCACCATTTCCTAACTTACAATAAAATGCGTAGAAACGATAATTAAAGTAATTAGAAAAAAAACTTTTAGGCCAGACAAGAGGAACTCTCTTCCCGTAAAAGGACATTGCAAACTTTGATACATCAAAACAGCATTCCTGAAGATGAATGTAATAAATTACTTGCAGATATGGATAAGGTATTACTTATTATTATGCACTTTATTTCGAATATATTTTATATGAAAGGAATAAAAATTGAAGTATTTAATAATTTAATTCAGGCTAATACGAACTTATCCAGCCATCGTGAATACGTCGAAAATAAGCTTACTTCTCTTAAAAAATATATCTGTACCCTGGATGTTGTTATGGCGTGGGTCATGGAAACTCGAACGAGAATAAATATATCTCGAGAATTATCTCAGCAAGAGCGGGCGGAGGTCCTTAAACATATTATGGTAAGTAGCAAAGTGTTTACGTGATAAGAAATGATGAGAGTAGACATTAATTGTACTTTTTTTTGGTAGACCAAGGTAAAAGATCGAGAAATGGAAGTGAAAGATGTTTTAGAAAATTATACGAATTTGGAGAAGGAATGTGAATCTGCGAAGCAGCCCATTTCTGTTGAACTACAAGTAAGTCCGAAGTCCCAAATTAAGGAAAATAAAAACATTTATTTTACGAGGAATATGTTGTTACAATCATGTATAATCCTAATACTTTCTGATTTTCTTTGGCCATTTTATAGTAAAAATTAAATTTTGGATGTAGCAATAATACATTTTTAGTTATATAAAAAAAATTAATTTTGAAAGAATGACTCTTTAATAAATTTGGTTTGACTTTAATTTCAAAAAAGCAAATGTACGGGTGACTCAAAGATCCAAGCCCAACTTCGCATGCATACGAAGAAAATGTAGCATGTTCTCTTTCTTTATCTCCAATGCTTTCCATACGTTGCCACTAGTTAGTCAAAGATTGGAGCTTTGTATTTTCTATGTGTGCGTGCAGAATCCCTTGATTCATTTCTACGTTATACACACTCATTTACATAATTTTCTACTTTATACGTACAGTCCGGGAGACAGCGACTTGACCAGCAGATTTAGGTCGGACATTTTGCCATAGCTGAAAAACATATATTTGTTTTTTTTGTCTGCTTATACAGGAAAAATTGAAGAAACTGCGGGAAGATTGGCACTTCGTCAAGAACAACGGAGAATCGCAAAATCACGAGGTTAAAACTACCGGGACAGTCGGAGTCGCGACGTCAGCAAT